ATATAAGGTACACAGACGCACACAACTCGCTGTCACCCTTTCGCGTTCCACCACCCTCGCGCTCCACAGCCCAATTCCCCTTAACGCTAATTTATCTTAATTACATTCTACGCGCGTCGGCATGCGTCCGTGTTCACGCGAGCACGTATATGTCGGCTCGTGAATGTGTGTACGTACGCCGGTGACATGTCGACGATGTGGTCGAAACATAAATGCTTCCCTTTGCCGACGTGTGGAATTTTCGAAGGATACACTTACAGGTACATGAGCGGAAAAGTTTATTCATAATAGTCGGATAGTCAAAATATGTTTAGTTGAAGGGGGAACTTTGTATTAAGAGTTTTCCTCGAACGCGCGTAAACTTATAAGTTAGGAGTTTGAAGGCAATATATAATTTTAGTGAGATTAAATTTTCATGCAAGCACCGGCAGTAAACGATATATTAAAAAATACTGCAATCGTTATATCGACGAAAAAAATTGAAATTGTATAACATATAAAATTATAAATAAAATTATATGATATTATGCCTTATATATTATCTCTTCAATTTTTATATATCTTTTTTTGCAATAGAAAAACGAATCCATTCTTTGATGAAAGTAAGTTATTTCGTTTATTTAGAATTTTCTTTGAACGTCACTCGTGCGTGTTTTTGAAATTGATTTATTTAATAATGCTATAAAATATTTATTATATATAAATATTTATTATAGTTATTATTACTCAGAAAAGGTGAGTAAATCGATTATTTTTCAAATCTGAACATATTAAAACTATTGATTAATAGGTGTGTGTATGAGTATGAACACATGCCTAACTCATTCGTATGACAGTGTAAATGTAAGAGTGTAGTTTATTCGCGCGTGACAGAGCTTCGTTTACACGTATACACACGCGTGTACACTTGTAACACGCGAGCTTTAATCTTCACGTCACGAAATATCCGCCTCGGTGTCCGTTCAGGGTCGAATTTCGACGGTGTGGTCTCTTTATCTTCCTCTCTCATTCTTTCGCTTCTCTCTCTCTCTCTCTCTTCATCGATCGCCAAAATTTCTTGGTGACGCTATGTAGCTAGTTCCTCTTTTCTCCTCCCACGCCATCGTAAGTTTGCCCGTCCAATTTTGTGTAGTTTACAGAATCGTACGATTTTCTGAATTAATAAATTTTCACAGAGCACTGCAGTTCCCCTCCTCTCGTTTTAACTTAGTCGCAGGTTTGCTGTGTTTATATGGCGTTCTAGAATTCCGGTGCAATGAAGATACAGAATGTCGGATACTGAATGTCGAGAATTTAGAACGATAAACATTGTAATTGCATGCACATGTAGAAATAATGTAAAGAAAATTAAGACTATCATTTTCTTAATTATTATAGGTATACAAAAAGATAAAAGCTTTTCTTTTGTAAATATTTTGGTCTTCAGAAATGATCGAAAAAATTATTAGAAATTAAAACTCAGAATTCTCAATATTAAACAATAAGATAAAAAATAATAAAAATTCAGACGAGGATAATGAGAGTCATACGCTGTTGTAGAAGCGAAGAGATAGGAGAAGCAGATAATCCTCAGATGTTGATAGTTATCTTTATTTTATTTCGAACGTTTCGGCTCACTTTGGAGTCTTCATCAGCGACTACCAAACCAAAAATGATTCTTCCATTGAGAGCAAGTCACTTGCAGATTGGCAGAAATGCAGCATTCATTACACTCAATGGAAAACGAAAAAATGAAGCTCAGAAATAACGATTCACAATCATACAATTAGATAAGAAAGTTACACTGTACATTACATATATTATATATCGTTTTTCTGAATATGATTTCATATGTCATTTAAAATTCTCAATATTATATTTCAATTATTTAAAGCTTACGAATTCTTATAACAATGATTTATGTATGTTATAAATAAGAATGTTAATTCCTCCCGTAAATAATAATAAATTTTGAACTGCCCCTTATACATTTATTCTAAAATAGTTGGCGTTCTTTCGGCATTTGTTACCCCTTCGATTGTTAGCTCTCACCGATCGAATGAGAAGGCTGGATATATGAAGCGGCACATAGAACCCCATACGATTGGAGAGGCCGTGGCGGCGCGGATGGGGGTTGGATCGCGCGTTTATCTTGAGATTGAGCATTAGGATTCAGTATATAGCGCCGGCCGTGCCGCGGGAAGATAAGGGGGTAATTTCTGTCCGCCGAGTGGGGTCAGAACTGCCCGTAGCTCATCTCCGCGTACATATATACGTGCCACCCCCGTGGCGACTTGGCCGAGCCTCCGTGGCCGAAAGTCGTTTCCACGATCTTAGGGACAAGGGCTCGGCTTAAGCCCCATGCAAATTAGATACGGGATCTTATGGCTGCAGATATGCCGCGGCATGACAGCGGGATAGTCGAGAGGGAGCGGCGGTCAAAATGCTGTTAATAATTAGTGTCATAGAGCGGTTTACCTAAATGATTCATCGGCCGAGGTTTATAGAATTTTGTTGGCACTATAATAACACTCGTTAAGATTGAGGCCTCAAAATAATGCTCAGCAACGAGATTTACTCTCTTATGTTATGATAATGTTGAAGAAAATGGAAGATACACGCAAACCGTTTATAAAATATGATACGAAAATAAAAGTGCACGAGGGTGAGTACACGAAGTGACTAAGAATTAAGAAATACTCAAAAATTGTACTAGTCACTTTGAAATAATTTTGTGGCGTATATACATACATACGTATGTATGTGTTTACGTGCACGTGTAAATGTGGTTCCTTTAACGATAGCGGCTCCGACGACACGCAGCGTTCTGGGAACTAAATGCGGTGCGTGCACCGAGAAAACATATCGCGTAGCGTTGCGTGACATTCCAAATATCTGAGCTAAAAAGCGGCTTTCGCGATAATGACGACGTAGCACAAGATCAGAACGATTCCGACTGCCAGGCATCGCCTGTCACGCCTGTTTTCTACACGCCGCGCCGAGCAAATTACTCCGCGACGCGTAACGTAACATCGTTGCGATTCTAATTGAAGTTGCGTGTCATTCGCAAGACTTTGCGATGCATGATCGAGAAGAAGACCGAGAGCCAAGGACGCGAATGAGTTTTGACATCTGCGATCTGTGAAAATGGATCCAATCGTTAATCTTTTTTCTCCCGTTCTTCTTCTTCTTCTTCTTCTTCTTGTTTGTCTTCCAATTTCTTTCCAACGCATCGCGGTAGAGAAGTCGGTAGATGGTAAAGAATAGTCAAAATAAACGATGACGCTAAGAGACACGGTAATTGTACGTTCGTGAGAAAAATCTGTGTTGGTACATTTCTCGTTTTGTCGAGCATCGTTTGTCTGAGAAAGTATTATTTAAGATTCGAAGTATCTTATATTTTAAGATTTTAAGTTAAAAAATTAAATGAAGATGAATAGAGATGAACGCACAGAAGTGAAATATATAAATATGATTTTAGTATACCATGGATCATTTGTTTTTAAATTGCCTGTGTAAAAATTTAAAAGACGAAACAACCTCTTAAATTCCCTCAAGAAGGAGCTACTTTAATCGACAACACAAGGATCAATTTTTCAAAATAAAGAGGAATTTCTTAATTGAGTGGTCTTCCTGATTATTAGGAGGACAAAGTCTTTCCAATGAGAGTGCTGTTCGTTTTTTCGGAGGGAGGCTATGCCGTAGAATTTTCGTATGAGTCAAAGTCCACAAACCCCTTCTGATTCCAGCCGATACCCTGGAGACTGTTCTCGGATCAATGATGTAGGACAAAGATAGTATCCATACGTTGTATGCGAAATTAATTTAACGGCAAAGTACCGCTTGTTTTTTATCATTATTTAACGACTGTATGAAATCTTTACATCGTAATTTTCTATATTATAAATTATTAAATATTGTACTTCTAAAATTTATTTAAACTTAGTGACAAATTAACATGTAAGCTGATTAAAAGTTGTGTGCCATAAATTAAACTTATTTAAACAAACAATTATTCTAATTTAAGTGTAATATTAATTAGATATATAAATACAATATAATACTTAATTAATATTTAATTCATAATACATGATAACAATTTTTTGATATATTGTTGCATTTAAGTAAATAAAAAAAAAATGTCAGAAAAATTCCAAAAGACTCTTACGCCATTGCACAGTCCGGTTGCTGCTCAAGATTGACTTAGGATTGAAAGAAAAAAAAATCGTAAAATACACACGCATTTATACAATGAACGCACACATTTTTATGTAACATAACTTAACGTTATAAAAAAGTCTAGTTTATAATAATGACATTAATAATTTTGACGTCAATTTTTTTCCAACATTATCTTTTTGCGTCGTAACAAAATATTTATCCCAATTATCAATAATTTCTTAAAATTTTACAAGTTTATAAATCCTTCAATCCTCGAGTTTAATACACGAAGTTTATTAATGTTTCTGCACACGAACAACCGTTATTCTTATTACAATGTTTAATAAATAAAAACAGTAGTTTACAGTTCCGTAAAGCACACATTGGTGTCCACGGCGGTGCTTTTGCGTTTACGCCTACGTAAGAGTAGTTCCTCCACCACGTTTAGGGATGGATCGCGCTAACAGTAGGAGGAACAGAGAAAGGAATCGAGAAAGAAAGGTGAAGAGAGAGAGACGAGAAAATCGAGAGGGAAGCGAGAAGGAGTGAGAGAGAGAGAGAGAGAGAGAGAGAGAGAGAGAGAGAGAGACGAGTAACGTAGACTTGAACAGAGGGGCACGTAAGGACGGAACCAAGGCGCGGGAGGAAAGAGGGTTGCGAGGGAAGAGAAGCGAGGTGGAAAGGAGGGTAGCCCTATCTCTCGTGCTCTCCTAACTAACATGTATTTTGCATAAAGCTTACATTACTTGAATTACAATGCTCCAGTGCCGTCTCGGGCCTCCCCGTCGCCTCCACCTCCAGCCCTCTTCCTCTCCTTCCGCCGGGAGTCTCGACCAACCCCTTCCCGCGGTTGTGTGAGGAGAGACGTCGGGATGTAAATTGCTTCCAGAGCCGTGCCAAGTTGGCGCGCAAGTGCTCGATGCGCGCGACATCCGCGCGTGTGTGCACCAAGTTTGCACGCGTGTATGCGCCATGCGGTGGGGTTGGATAGGTGCTGGGTGAGCGTGCGAGGATGTTCCTGGACAGCATAGCTCGACGCTATTACGTGCGGAGACTAGAGGGACGGAGATGGTGAGGGAAAATTCATTATCTCAGTCATTCCGGAGCGAGAGCGTTATCGGGCGCGATATAATTGATCGTTAAGCGGTCGCTCCGGGAGCGTCGGCGTTTTAGATCACGTCGACCGATAACGGTGCGAATTACCGCGGCGATTATAGAATTTAGAGGCGCTCAGGAGATGCGTTTAAATCGAAAGTCGCATGTTTCCATTCGAAAGTTAACACTTCGCATCGTTTAAATGCAACACCATCCTCTCGCTGAAAGGATTAAATTGTTACTTGAGTATGTGAGACGTGATTATATGAAAAATATTTTACAGAGATTAAATTAAGATAGAGATTAAACTAACTGCTGATATAATAACAGCTCTGTATCTTTATAATTATTATGGAACTATCCTATTTCTTTACGCGCGCGATACATGTGTATAGAAGAGAGGGATGTAAGGATCTTGTTCCTTTCTTCCCTCCCTTTTTAAAAGTCAGTTTAAGAATCAAATCAATAATCCGTCCGTAGTTAAACTACTGGACGCGCACATTATGAATTTTCCCCACGTCGGAAAAATTCGTCGAGTAACGCGAGTGTAAACGAAGGAAAAGCAAGAGGGGGACTTTTCGTAAGGAGTAACTCCGACACCCGGGGGAGTATCTACGTGTAGGGTTTTCCCGCGCCTCGCCGCGCCGGACACAGCCCTTATTGGCTTTTTCCACGCGTCCCTTTTTTTTTCATCCTCTTCCCTCCCCCGGCCTTCGTTCCTTACATTATTCACGCTTACGTGCCGGCATGAGCGTAACGAGAAGCATCGGCGCCCCTAGGATAATGGAACCGCGATGGCGAAGGACGCAAGTACGTGCGCGAACAGGAGGATAATTACGGTTCTGCGTCCTTGATGCGTGCCTATGTCCTCTCTTCCTGTCAAGGGATAGGAGGTCGCACGCGTACACGCACATTGCACGTACACGCGTGCGTTCCCCGGAACAGATCGAGCGGGGCTCTCGGTTACACAATGGCAGAGGATACCGGGTAACCCGATGACAAGGTGTAAATCATCGACCGGATTTCGTATCGCGTTCGAACGCGCGGAGCAACGATAAGTCGGACATTACCGACGTGTACGCTACGTGACAAACGGACCTCGCTTGAGTAACGGATGATGCATCGGCTTCTACGATCTCGAAAATGATGCATTGGATTTGCAGCGTGATTTGAAGGGAAGGTCTTTGATTTATCGTAAATGTGGCTTAGATCGTAAGACAGAAACTTGCCAGAACAGAACCGGTCTCCTAACTATGAGAAATGGTTTATTATCATCGGGAAAGAATATAATTTGCAATTTGAGTTACGTAAAAAATGAGCGATACATTTAAAAATGATATATATACGAGAAATATTGTTTCAATGTTTAATGAAGAGCATAATTTTGTAATTTCGAAAATTATCAAAAGATAGTTTTCTCTCTCTCTCTCAATGGATATTTGTTTTCATGGTTACTAAAGCATGTTAATCGCGTTGATTAACTCGACAAAGTTAGCAATTCTAACTCATTTAATTCGCCATAATTTTATAACTTGTAATGTACGATTTAACATTTCTGTGATAAATTCCGATAATACAAAGCTCGTAGGAAAACTTGCTCTTAGGAAAACGACTAAAACAAGGCGCATTACGAATTTATCAAACCGTCCGAAGAAAAATAGCCGAATTCAATCAATAGCACGCACATAGCGCGACCTAATCCACGTAAAGGGAAACCCTAAGGGGTGAGACTCGCGGGTCTCGTATCATCCAAAAACTATGACGCAGGTACATCCGTAAGTGGCGCGCCCCGCAGGATAACTTATTTAACACAGACAATGTACAAGACTCTACTTCGCGTACACGTTGGCAGGACGAGCTTGGTGAGCTACTTTGTATGTACGCACGCTGACATCTTACCCACCCTATCCGCCCTCCTTTTACCGTGGTCGAGGGGAGACTTCTGGGGGTGCGGGTGGACCAAGAGATCAATACCGGCGTCCCATGGACCAGAGCCACCAGCCACCCTCCCTTCTGCCGCCTCCCTTAAAGCGGACTCACGTGTGTGAGCGCCGGACCTCTTAGAATCACCAACCCCCAAAACCCACCCGCACCCAACCTCACAGCCACTACCGCCGTGGCAACCACCCTCGGGGCCATCTACTCTCACCCTTCGCAGCTTTAAAGCGATGTGTCCGTGTTAGAGCGCGGAACGAAACGACTACCATGAGCTTTTGAGACGCAAGATTCAAGAATGTTAATGCGAGATTCACCAGTTGATGCGAGATGTGCGATAATTACTGAGGATAATACCTGCGTGATTTATTTCTTAAATTTTCTAAGTGACAGCCTTATATAAATCGTTTCAGCCATTAAATTCGTATTTCAATTTTTGATTGCTGCAACCAATTTTTGATTGCGTTAACCTATCCGCAATTGGACTGCTACAGCCAATTAAGAATGCTGTGCCACGTTTTACCATCTAATTTGCTGTGCAGCAGCCAATCTTTTCTTTCAATGTATTCGAAATTGAAATTAATTTCTTAAATTTCGAATAGAGATGTGTGTACGTATATGTATATACTCTACGCGTTGGAAATGAAGTCTGCAGTATCTTCAAATCTGCCACCTGCAACGGCCGAGTTGACCGTTGCCCGTGAGCTGCAGGACGCATCGGGCAATCCCTTGTTTAATCACGCTGATAACTTATGCCGCACACATCCTCTCTTCCTCGCGCGGACGACGAAACAAAAAGACCGAGCCGAACCCGGAACCCGTTGAAGACGGACACTCCTATCACTCCGTTAGCCACCGTGAGTTTTTGCATCACAATTAATCCACGAACGTAATGGGCCCCGATCCTGGCCACCTGGTGCCCGGACGTCCTGCAGGACAACGGGCTCTCTTCCTTCTATCCTCCTTACCGTCCTTCGGACCGCGCCGATCCTCTCTTTTGGCTTTCATTACAAGAGGGAAGGGGGGAAAACGACGTGAGAGATGATGACCTGCATCTCACACGCCGCAGCATCCCGCTGGCGACCATAATCCTTCGTTGTGTCTTGCCGGGAGCTTTTTCTGCGCCGCGAGTAATGCTCGCGACGCGTTTTTGTGCACCTCGTATATGTTACGTCGTGTCCGACTGCATCGCACTGCTATAATGGATATCAGTAATATGTTGCGTCTAACCCGCGACCGGATGAGACGTTACCGTCAGTCAAATTGCTCCGAAACGACTGTCAAACTCGCCGTTGGCCGTTATCTCCTTGTAAATTTTGTTTCCGATGCTCTTATGGAATCTGTATATAAATTGGGCGTTTAATTCGATATCGTGCGATATGACGTTAGATGAGATATGATATTATTTTCGAAAAAGTCCTGGAGTAACTCTTATATTTATCTTGTCAAGGTATACATTCTTTTATTTACTGAGTCTGCATTGACGTGAGTTGAAGTACAGTTTTATTGTATTAGGTACTACATTTTGAGTCTCAAATAAGTACCGCTTGCTTTTGAAAACTTCGTAAGGTTGATTGCGATCAGTATTTCCTGTAGAAATTCCTTTCTCAATGCAGTTATAGACTAGCTCGGAATTCAATTCCAGTTTGATCGTCGTTGTCGGATACGAATTCGCATTCTTCCGTTCGCTATTCTTCGATGACGTATAGATCTTCAATGAAAAATTCGACAATTTGACAATTGATCTTCTCGAAATTATATGCGCGAATACATAAATAACATACATTCGTGCGCGCATTGTGTATTTTATCACTCATTCCTTCGTTAAATATGTAATCCTTATTTATAATACAGCAAGCACAATAAAGTTCTATTGTTCGATAAAAATATTAAGGCTTTCATTGACTTAAACTTTATACTACAACTTTCAAAGTACGCTAAAAGATAAGACACTTTTTAAAAGTACACAAATGTAAATATAAAATTAAATTATTACAACAAACTTATATTACATAAAAACAAATAGCCAATATATTTTGTGTCTCACATAATAATTGTCCAGATATAACGGCTGCGTTCGTCGTTTATTGTATCTTAATCGTGAAACATCCGAAAGCTTTTTGCTCTAAAGATAGCACATGCCGATGCTGATTTACCCTCTTTTACAGTACACACTACTGAAATAGCTGTCCCCTTTTCATCGCCCTTAACCAAGAGAGCGATACGCCACGATCTGTTCGACATATCCCCAAACGTTCGAATCGCGACACGACGGGGGGTAACCACGAGCCCGTAACCATCGTTGACATTTCTCAAGTGCAACCTTCTCCCCGACGTCCCTCCGTTTCGTACTTGAAGGAAAGAAGACACGAGGACCCGCGATTAATCAGGATTAGCTGAAGATCTGACCCTTAACCCTGTACTGTCCACTGGTCGTGCGATGACCATCAGTCATCGAGAATGCTCCTCTTCCCTCCCTCCTCTCTATCCTTTTCGGGATATCGTCGCGGGCTCCTATAAACCGGACGATCATTACAATGTCATTAACTTTGACGAGCGTATAATTCGTGGCGGGTCAAGAGGTCAAGGGGATAAGCAATGTACCTCTGCCAGCAAGTTGAGGTCATATCGATGAGATCGTAGCATCGACTGATCAAAATTTTACGGAATTAATAGATTTTTCAACGAAATCGCCAAAACCTTTGTATAAGCTAAAAGAACGAATCACGCCAATCTAACTAATGATGAGGTTTGTGAACATCTCGCAGGAGTCGCAATTAATAGAGAGAGTTTCTTCGTCGTTCGTGTAAACTATTATTATTGTTAGTTGTCACAAATGGTAAAGCGAATGAAATTAAATAATCTAATTTATACAATTGAGTATGGTACATGAAATCACAACATCGTGTGAGTGAACTAGGAATAAACGATCAAAATCTTAAAACCATTATTTTATAAGTGATCTACGTTAAATCGACTTTAACGCAGGACTGTAAAGTGACATTTCTTTACCAACGGTAATTCTCAGGGCGATGCTGAAC